GGCGCCGGTGGCGGGCCTCTACGCCGCCCCCCCGCTGCTCGGAGGGGGGGGAGCCGCGGTTCACAGGGCCCCCGGCGAGCCGCCAGAACGGCCGTTGGTACGCCGTGAACACGCAGTACGAAGGGCGGGTCAAGCGCTACAGCCACATGCACGGCTTCGGCTTCCTGACCGCCACCTACAAGCTCACCCCGCTCGGGGCGAGGGCCGCCGAGGAGGGCGGGGGGCTGGAGGAGGACGGGGAGAGGGAGGTGGTGGAGATCGAAGGGACGCGCTACGCGCGCACGCCCGTCCGCATCGGGGACATCTTCGTCCACCAACAGAAGATCCACCTCATTCAGGGTTCCATCCTGTCGGAGCTCTTTGCGCAGAACTTCACCGTCGGCGCCGGTGTGTACTTCCGCGCGGACTGGGGTATAAACTTGTGCAGTCTTCAGGCGGTCGACGTTCGACTTTTGGTGCGCCCTGGCAGTGTGCGGGTGGGCGGGGAGACTTCGCTGGATTCGACCCCACTTTCATCCGGAACGGACTCCTGATCGTTCAGGCCCGATTCCCCGCTCCAGGCAGTGGTAAAAACCATTTCTTTTGTGTAAACTTGGAGATCAAATTTTGCATCATACCATCCTTAACCATCGGGGAGGGCGCTCTCGTTTGCATCGTGGAGACGACCCCGGCAGTGCGGTCTGAAGGAATCAGTACTGCTCAGGATTTGCTTACTGAATCCTCTAACATCTGCAATACGGACTTCACATGCCACTTCACATTGAAACATATAAACTTCATATGTTTTCAAGCGAGCCGTGTGCTGACAAACTGCTCGTGAGTAACACCGATGGGCTGTAGCTTGTGCATACAAGCAGAGACTATTCTCTCTCATATTATTAAAAGAAAGGACGCAATGCGACCTACTAATACACACCAATCTGAGGTAATCTTATAGGGGTATTGTTTATAAGAGAGTGAAGCTATGGGAATGATGTCACTACCAAAGGATCACTTCATAAAGTTAATGTGAAAAGTAAAGGCAAATAATAAAATTAACAAGACTGATTATGGTAGCAACAAAGGAGGATGCATATACATTGTGGAAGAATTTACTTCTGTAATGCAATAGGTGCATAAATAAATTTATTTTCGGTTGAAACAAGCAAATTTGATTTAAATAACTTTATCCACCTGTATTGAGATGGAAAAAAATCCTCCATATATTTTCCATATATTTTCCGTTTTTTTTTCATTTCCATCATAATCTTTCTTTTATCTTTGCACCATCTTTAATCTTTCTAATCAGATTTTTATGAATGTATATTATTACTTATGTATGTATACTAATGTAACATCGTTGTTTTTTACTATTTTTTTTCTAGTATTGTTTTTATTCATTTTTTCTTTGGATGTGGAGAAAATTTGATTATCTTATGCTTACCTGCATGCTATACGTAATACATCTTTATTATTCTCATTATTATTTAATCTACTATATAGTAGTAGTGGTTATTTTTTTTTTCACCATTTTTATTTACTACGGTTTATTTGCTTCTGTAAATGAGAAAATTCATGATAAAAAAGCCAAAATCTGAATAAAAAATACACGTACCATTTTTTTTTACCTATTTGAAGACCATGGGTAATAAGGATGAAATGATTGCCAACAATGGATAAAATATCGAGGCGAATGTTTTTTCTTTGTGAGTTCACTCTTAAGGTCGACAATGCATGTTCATTCATCATTTTTTTTTTATTAATATAACCAATGTCTGTTGTCATTATTCAAAATTAAACAGACAGGTTCACTTGTTATAAGTAATAAATTTAGCTACATATCTATATTTCTATCCCTATACATTCATTTTTGTTTATTTTGGTTTTGACATATTTTCTTCTTTAATCTTCAAGGCGTTATTGTTCATTTTTTTTTGTGCTCTATCATCAGCAAATTTGCTGCTTTTCCTTTTTTTTTTCGTATTGCTGCAGAAAACTCAGCAACAATTATAAGCGAAAGAGTAACCGAAAGGTAAGATAGTATTCCATTTTAAAGTTATTGAACGCGCAGTGTTATTCTTTTTCAATTCATTTTCTTAACACAGCATTTTCGAGCATATCGTTTCATTATGATTACTAATTTCATCTTCCTTCATTCAGTTGTATACATTTTTTTTTACTCCTCAACATATTCTTTAAAGTATTTTCCATTTTTTATTTTTAATTTTTCAAATAAGTGACACACAACTATGCACTATTTTCACCATCTTCATAATCTTAATCATTTTTAGCATTTTTATTTATACTAATTTCTTTTGTCTATTCTGATTGTTTTCGTACAAAAAGGTGTTGTTGTTACTATTCCTTGATGCGGTTCATATTGCAGGAAGACAGGAGAATGACATGTGGTCACTTTAAATAATTTTGTAAATATTTTTCACTTGGTATTATTAAGATAACAAACAATTAACAGAAAGCAATTTGAGCGAATTTGATTAAAATATAGTTGATCTGAACAAATAAAGTGGAGTAATCTTCTCCCTCCCTTCCCTAAGAAAAAATATTACTTGCGTTTGATCTAAAGTGATTCTGTTCACAAGCCTTAGGACCCAACAAGATGTTTGCTACAAAGATCAAACACAATTCCACTTGTGAGGGGGTGTGGGTTATTAATTATATCACAAAAAAGAATTTAAGGGAAAAATTATGTATTTACAATAACGCATTTTACGTGTCACTTTTTTTCATTACTTTTGTATATTTTAGCATGTGCTAGTGGTGAAGCATTTGAAAATTTTCATTTTACGTTTTGAACATAAATATTCTTCTGAAATGTTTATACACTTTTTTTTTAACGATTTTACGAACATGAAAATCTTACATAAAGTACGCATTTTCCAACCTAAATGTATTGAAACTTACACATATTTGCTTTCATTGTTATTATTATTATTTCTTTTTTCATTGCTTGTGTGGATTTCGATACACACTTTGAATGACAAAGAGATAAATCATTTTTTTTTTTAAATAAGTGTCCATAAAAAAAAAATATAGAAACTTGTCAAGGTACACCAGGTTATGATGTACTTACTTAAATATAAGTACTTTCTTCAAACTTCTTTCGTCTTTTCCAAAATCTGGTTTAAACAATGGAATGTGGAGAATGACCAAAACATTTTCCCGTTTATCTACTTTATTGCCATTATTCTTCCAATTTGAATTAAAGGAAAAACTATTACGCATCGACCTTATCCCTTTCCTTTCTTTCTGAGATATTTAACACTAAATTATTTCTTTGTTATTCGTAAAAATGGTGCATTTATATTTTCTTATTTCCTTTTTCATATATGTAGTTGCTTATGCGTAAAAATATGGAAAATCTGATTTCATTAATATCCTTTATTTATACTAGTTTCCTTCTCCCTTATTCGTTAATACATGAGCGTTTTAAAACGATATGCATTGATTTTAATCAAGCTATGAAAGTGCTAGCTTATATTTCAACTGATACATTACCCATTTTATGAATCAATATATCATACTAATCATTATTTATCTCTTGAAATGTAAAAATATTGGAGGCTATGCTTCTAATTCAGCAAAAAACGACATACCTTTATTTATAAGCTTGAAAAAAGTATTAAAATATTAATTCAATATCGTGATATGTTATGCTATCTTTTTTTTATTTTACTAAAATTGTTCTAGCATTTTTCTAAATATCTTCTGGCATAATCTTTTGCTTTATATACACCTATATATATATATTTTTTTTAAAGCTTTTTCGTGTTTCAAGAGGCGCAGCAACAACTCAGAGCAATGATTCTTATATTTTAAGACTTCTTTTTCTTTTCATTATTTTAATCTACTTTATGTATAGGAATCCACAATTTCATAGTTGAGTGCTATTGTTGCGTTTTTTTCTTTTTTATTTCTATTACTTCTTTCAATAAATCTCGAAATGTAAAATAAACCTTTATATATTTTAGATTTATTTATACTAGTTTCGATGTTACAGCTCACTTTGTTATTTTATTTCATTTGAGTTAAAGTGTATCTATTACTGAACAAAGTAATAGGTATTCGTATATATATTTCTGATCCCTATAATAATATTCGAGTTTTAAGTGCTAGGACAGTCTTATTCTTTTGTATTTTGATTTTATCCAGATAACACTTAAGAGAGTCGAGAAATTAATGGTTTATACCATCTAAAATTATTAATAATCGAGGGATCCATAACTATGAAATGCTTTATTTCAAGTTAGTTTTTTTCATTAAGGTCAAATAAAGATTTTTACATGAATTTAGGAATAATGTTAATGACAAATTGAAAACAAGAGTTCAAATTCCTTACTTTATTCTGTTTTTCTCCTTTTTATACATTCCTTCTTTACTATTACTTCAACTACATAGAAAATTCCGTATCAAAGACGTGATTTAGTAATCTGAATATATCTAAGGAGTATTAAGAGTTCTTAAAGGGGATCTTTTTTTTTTGAAAATATATAAATCTTCGTACTCCAGTCTAAATATTTGTTTACTTCAAAAGGGAAAAAATATTTAGGGGCTCAAATTTAAATAAGCAAATATTAACCAAGAACCCTAAGAGTATTGTTTACCCTTTTTTAAAACCCTTATTGCTGTTTAATTGCTTGCCTACTTTTTTTAATTTTAAGCAGTTGATTCAGGACCATGTATTCCATCGCTTTACCCCAGCCCTTCGTGGATTCCACTAAGTTGCTCTACTCACCTTTCTCGGCCGCGGTGAACGGGATGGCTCCTTACCTGAATCAAGGCACGTCTTACCTGTATCATGGCATGCCCCCAGCTGGACAGTGCACGTCTTACCTGTATCATGGCATGCCCCCAGCTGGACAGTGCACGCCTTACCTGTATCATGGCACGTCCCCAGTTGGACAGTGCACGTCTTACCTGTATCATGGCACGCCCCCAGTTGGACAATGCACGTCTTACCTATATCAGGGTGCCCCGTACTTGGGACAAGACCTTGGCTTAGGGGCTATACCCGCCGTCAACCCGGGGCCTAGTATTGTTACAAAAGAGATGGCCTGTCCACAACCCCCCCTGGACCCTCTGCTCCACGTCTTCTTGCCGGTCTACAGCGGGTCTGTGGCGGAGTCTGCGGGGCTAACCAGCGTCACCAACACCGTGTTCACGGTGCCGATCGAGTCACAGGCCTTGCCGAATCTGGATAAGCGGGTCAACGGTCTGAACTACACCCCGGATTGCCTGTACGAGGGCTACGTGAAGCGCTACAATCCTGTGCGCGGATTTGGCTTCCTGACGGCGACGCATCAAGTCGTTCCGACCCCAGATCCCGCATCTGGGGAAAGCACAACGACCGCGAAGGAATTTGAAAGGTCGGGAACAGAGGGACTGGATCCAAACGATATTTCCCGTGAAAGCAGCCATGAAGTGAGCTTTATGCTGCATGAGGCGGACCCTTGCTTGGGTGGGGATGTCCAACTGGCCGACGTCCTTACCGCAGCATTTCTCGATGTTAACAACTACGTGGAACATGAACCGAAGCCCCAGCCTTTCCCCAATAGGGTGCTCCCTAGGAGTTCCTCGACTTCCTTACCTTCCGTCTTTACTTCCACTGACAAGAAATCGGTAAAGTCGTGTACGCGTGTACCGATAAACCCGGGGGATATTTTCGTGCACCAAACCTACCTGAATATGAATGGATTCCGCACCCTTCCAGTGGGTGGCCGAGTTCGCTTTAGAGTTAGTTTTATGAAGGGGCACAAATCATTTCAGGCTATAAGTGTGCAATTGCTGCCGCAGGTAATGCCACCCGGGATGGATCATCTGAATACATTCACTTCTGATACACCAGACAGCAAAAATAATATTTCAGCAGCTGATCCAGATCAAGTGGAGTGACAAGACGATCCATTAAAAATGATGAAGGCTGGATAAGGACATGGGAATAATAATTATGAGGGTATGACAGAAATGTGCACATATGTAGATATGTTTATCATACCCTTACACTTTATATAAACATGGTACGTATTTTATTGGTATTTTTTATCATAGGCTGATGTGGTATGTGTATGAATATCTTCAGTACACTGACAGGTAATTCATATATCAAGTATTTGAGCTGTTTTGCCAAGCAAACCAAGTTACTAGAAAACCTTAAGAAAGGTATAGTAGTTTAATTTTTTATCTATTTGTGAAGTAAAAAATGATAAGATTTTGCATTTTCATTTTACAACATACGTAATCTTTTGTTCGGTTTTTTTTCATTTTATATCTTTGTCATTTCCGACTTTTTTATTTTGTTTTATGCTTCAGCAACCGAAAATGTAGTTCAAAAGTAATGAAAAATGTAGTTTTCATGCTTTGTCATTCTTCTATAAACCAAATTGAGCATATGGTTGAGCGTTTATTAAGCTTGATTTAATATCATTATTAGTCTTGTCTATTGTGCACATGTATACTTTTCCTATTCTGGGTCTTACCGTGTATAAGAATTTATCGTAGAAGTGAAATGAGAAGTAATTGAAAAATCACTGGCAACAAGCAAGTCCCAATAACTAACTATAAATTTATTATGAAATGAAAAAGTCAACATTCCATACATAAGAGAATGCAACGCCATTTTTTCTACCACATTATTATATATCTGTAGCTTACATTATTCCTACTAATTTTACATTAACACTTCTTGATATTGCACAATTGACTCTTAGTTGATGTGTTTTTTATGTTTTTTACCTTTTTATTTTATGCATTTTGTTGTTACCAGTTCTATTATTATTACAAGCATTTTTTCCCATTTACTTTCAGTTTTTATCTTTTTGTAAGGCATGGATTATAGCACATTGATATATGCACTTTTTTATTTGCAAATCATCTTAAATATTTACATATGTTATTATTTATTGAGTATCACAGATAGTTCTCATTTTTTTTTCAAACTGATGGAATTATTATTCTACTGATAAACTTCCTGGTAAACAAAGTAAAATGGAGTTTTGGCGTCAAATGGAGACATAAAGGAAAATAATATGATTAGTAAATATTTTGTGACTCTTTTACTGATCATTAATAGACGAAAAGACCCATATATAGTTCTATAGACCCTTTGATTATTTCACCGATTAAATATGTTGTGAAAATGGCTTAACGGTGTGTTGTGTCTAAAATAGAAAAGTTGTGGTCCTTCAGTTTTTTTTCTATTATTGTGTCTACGGATTGTTTTGAAAAAAAAAAATAGTATTTTCATCTTGTTTGTGTTTACTTTCCAATAACCCAAATGAACACGAAGATCAAGATAAACTGGCTTACATACTTGTGAGTCAAGGATCCGTAAACCCAATAGTCTAACTCCATCCATAAGGGTTCTATATTGTTATTTTTTTTCACGTATTTCTTCTCCATTCACTAACTTCTTTATTCCTTTTAATTATATTTGTAGACATTTTTTTAAAATGTAGTTTTGCCTATTCTGTAGGGCTGTAGGCACGTTGGGTGTGATTTTATTACATCCGTTTAAGCAAAGTTCCGTCCTCAAGAGGCCTTTACCGAAAGTGCAAATAAATATGTTAACGAAATAATCATTTCATTTTTAAGGAATTAAATAATTAGGTACAAATTGATGAATCTGAAGTATCTATTCTCTTTGATTAAGATTCGAACTGATTCCTATATAGTATTATTATTGTCATTACTAATGTTCACTTTTTCATTTCAGAAGTGTTCCGGAGGAAAAATATTTTCCTTACTTCTGTTTTTGTACCCTAAAATAAAGCTGTTTGATATAGTAAAAATGTTAGGGAATTTTAACAAGTAAATGAACTCTATTTTGAAAATGTTTAAGTCATGCTTACCATCTGCCTTCTGGTATTCATGCATGGAGAAAAAAATCATTAATCTGTGAAAAAATATAGTAATATAAGTAATTCCTTATTATATTACATTAGTTTTTGGTTTTAAGGTTTTCTTTCTACATTTCTGATATTTATTTTTAAGTACCTACACTTACTCGATAAAAAGATATTATATATATATTTTTTTGGAAATTATGATAATTAAAAGTATTTTGAGTGGAGGTGTTTAATGTTAAATTAGAAATGTTTAGAGTTTGATATAAAACCAAAGGCAATCATATAAATTTCATGTTTATTTTTCCCTCTTTGAAATGACCAATGACATATATATTCCACTTTTCTTATAAATTTTTACTTCGGATTGGAAGTTGCTTCTATAAAAATAAAACCTAGCTTTTTACCTACAAATAGATTTATTACAAACTGTGAATAAGTTTCTAATGGTCTTTTATTTATTTACCAGGCACACTTTCACAAACCTATCCATAAATTAATTTAACTATCGACTATCGATTTTAATTATTTTCACAATTTTTTTTCTTTGTCTTTCTGAATTAGGGAGGGTGGATTTTAGGTGAAACTCTTTTTACGGCTTTTGGTTTGTCAAAGCCCTTTCTTCATCGGAATTAGGGTTATCATTTTCGAATATTTATCGTTAATTTGTAGGCCATTTGGTTATACATGTGAGCGAAAGAACCTTTACTACATATTTTGAAATAACACACAATATTTTTGAGGTTCCTCGTCAACCCATTCCAATTATTTATTTTATCCAAAAAATTTTCTCAGGATGACAATTTAATAATGAAAAGAAAAAGCTGCATCGTCGGGTTTAATTCCCTGCCGACTGACAACGAGCGGAGGTGATGAGGCACCACTCGAGGGGTCCGATGCAAGGCTTTTGAAGCCGTCGCAACCAGACATCTTCGCGTCTTAAATAAAGGAGGGGGGAGGTTTTTATTATTATTATTATTATTCTACGATACTTATCAAAAACAACCTATCCATGATTCTATGGATTTAATTTTTTATATAGGGTTCCACTTATTTGCCAATTAATTACCTTGGAGGTAATACTACATCACGATGCTTTACAGTTTGTATTTTCCATTTTTTATCAAAGTTTTTTACACAAAAAATCGTATGTTTATCAAAAGTGAGGTCAAGATAAGATCGATAAATTGTATCTAACACTTATGTGCGCTATCTTCTTTTCTTTTTTGGTATTCTAGATAATAGGGATCTGTTTATGAATCTCCTTTTTTTGAGGGCATGCTGATATATTTCATAAATATTTATTCAATAAATATTAATATATTTTTTTTGTGTAGACTTTTCAGTACTATTTTCTTTGTTTTATTCCATTTCCGTAAGTATGTGTCAATGCTTGACCTTAGGGATGGTATTCTCAACGTTTTTTTTAATGCTTGCTTAAAATTTTTTATTTATTTGCTTTATCAGAGCTGAGCTTTATTTGATACGGAATATTCGATATAATTGTTTACATTTACTTTTTTAATTTTCTGACGAACCTCGGGGCGAAGTTTTTTTTATAACTCTCGTTTGGAGGAGGGGTTCACCAGATGTGAAGAAAAGGGGTTGTAAATTTTTTGCTTGTGTATTTTAAGTTACATGAATTATTCAGGAAAAATATTACCTTGTAATTATTTTGTAAAATTTTTATTAATTACTTCTATTGTAATTGAAGAATAATATAGATTATCCCCACTATGTCTCCACTTCTTTATTTTTTTCAAAATAAATGACAAACAACCAAGAGGTATTAACACTTTGCCATACAGCACTTTTTTGAAAACACCACTTAATTATTCACCTTTTCTTATCACCTTAGGTTTCTTCTTAGAAGCATAACCCTTAGATTTCAAAAAAAATATCAACCTATTTCATTTTATTTCATTGTTTAAGATATTTCAATAAAACTAGCTTGTGTCGTGGCTTACTAGGATAGAGGGACCTGCGTGGCGATATTTGGCACCAATTCCCACTGTAAAGGACGTATTGCGCTTAAATACCCCCCTCCCTCTCTTTTACCACCTTATATGTATATATATATATATCTAACTATCAATAAATAGGTATATATATATATAAATATAACAATAACCAAATACCCATAAGCCCATAGCTATCTATTCCCATATAGAGCGAGGAGCGCGGGGTTTCGTTCCCCAGAGATTCCATGAGCAGTG